TGCTGACAACTACATCTGACATTCCTCAGGCGTGTGCTTCTGGGGAGGTGGGGAACCATGTCATGGATTCGTCATCTGGATGATTCACCCCAGTCCCCCAGGCCAGCTGCTGGGGGGCCCCTTCCTTGTGCTTTTTTTGGGCTCTCCTAGAATGTCCCTGCCCCTTCCCTAGGCCATAGCTTCCCGAGCTCCAGGGGACTTGGGCTGGAAGTGAGCATCTTCCATGTAAACCTTCAGTGTCTGGGACTAGGAGTCTGGCTGTATCCCCAGATGGCTCCTGCTTCCCCCCTCCTCCTCCCCCACTCACCACCACACATTGGCCATCACCACCTTTGTTGAGACTGATAAGAGCATCTCTCTGAGGGTTGGCCAGCTTCCCTGAGCCAGGAGGGAGGGCCGTGTAGAGCCAGGAAGCCTGGCTGAGAGAACTGTGACTTGCCACCCCTCCTGCCTGCTCCAGAGGAAGGTTGGGGATAAGGCCCTTGGCAAGTCGGGGTGGGGGGCAGGGGCAGCAAATGGCCTAGCGCTGGCCTGATGGGGGCAGGGCCAGGGCCTCCCTGTGCCAGGCACCGTTGACCGCTTCTGTCACAAGGGCCTTTTGTTCCTTACACAGGACACACTGAATAATAATTCTCTGGGCAAGAAGCACAGTTGGCAGGATCGGGTTTCTCGATCATCCTCGCCCCTGAAAACAGGTAAGTCAGGATGCTTTTCCTTACCTGGACCTCCACCTGCCCTGCCTCGGTCCCCAGTGCAGAGAGCAGACCCAGCAGTCTCCAGCTGGTGGATAGAGGTAAACGCCTGTCCCGCAGCCCTGAGCAGGCCCATCTACGGTCCGCTGTGGCAGGGTAATTGGCCCCAGAGCTGCCATGGGCCTACTGCCCAGGAGGCTTGGCTTGGCTTCTGTGTCGACATGCTGAGTGGAGGGAGCAGGTAGCCTGGGGTCAAGGGTGGGGCGCCCACCTTCAGCACTGGCCTGCCCGCTCTCCAGGGGAGCAGACGCCTCCACATGAACACATCTGCCTGAGCGATGAGCTGCCACCCCAGAGCAGCCCCGCCCCCACCAAGGATCGCGGCACCTCCACCGACAGCCCTTGCCGCCGCAGCGCTGCCACCCAGATGGCGCCTCCCAGTGGCCCCCCTGCTGCCCCACCTGGCGGCCGGGGCCCCTCGCATCGAGACCGCATCCACTACCAGGCCGACGTGCGGCTCGAGGCCACCGAGGAGATCTACCTGACACCAGTGCAGCGGCCCTCCGACCCCGCAGAGCCCACCTCCGCCTTCTTGCCGCCGGCCGAGAGCCGGATGTCGGTCAGCTCCGATCCAGACCCCGCCGCCTACCCCTCAGCCGCAGGGCGGCCACACCCCTCCATCAGCGAGGAGGACGAGGGCTTCGACTGCTTGTCGTCCCCGGAGCGGGCGGAGCCGCCCGGCGGCGGGTGGCGGGGGAGCCTGGGGGAGCCGCCACCGCCTCCCCGGGCCTCGCTGAGCTCGGACACCAGCGCCCTGTCCTACGACTCGGTCAAGTACACGCTGGTGGTGGATGAGCATGCACAGCTGGAGCTGGTGAGCCTGCGGCCGTGCTTCGGAGACTACAGCGACGAGAGTGACTCGGCCACTGTCTATGACAACTGCGCCTCGGCCTCCTCGCCCTATGAGTCGGCCATCGGGGAGGAGTATGAGGAGGCACCCCGGCCACGGCCCCCCGCCTGCCTCTCCGAGGACTCCACGCCCGACGAACCCGACGTCCACTTCTCCAAGAAGTTCCTGAACGTCTTCATGAGTGGCCGCTCTCGCTCTTCCAGTGAGTCCGCGCCGGGAGCTGGGTGGGGACAGCCAAAATGAGGGTGTTCCTGGAAGGTGGCCTCAGGCCCATCTGGTTCAAAGCATTAGGACTGAGAGCTCTCTACCTGCTCCCTAACCTCGACCAGAGCTGGGACCATTCTCCTGCCCGTCCCTCTCACCTACAGGTGCAGAGTCCTTCGGGCTCTTCTCCTGTGTCATCAACGGGGAGGAGCAGGAGCAGACCCACCGGGCCATCTTCAGGTAAGAGTGCAGGGGCTGGGCTGGCCAGCACCTGGGGCCACCCCTGTCCCCACCTCTGCCATCACCACATGGCCTAAACCCAACCCCCACCACTGGCATTCTTTCATCCACTCAGCCCCAGGGGGACAGCGTCCACCCTCTAGGAACTCAGAGTATGGTGACAGAGTGGGGCCTTTGCTCTGCTGCTGGAGCCCAGGACTGAGCACCCAATCCGGTGGGGGGCAGGAGCGCGGGAGGGCGCCTGGCAGAGATGATGCCTGACCACACACAAGACCCATACCATCTCACCCCCCTCCACATGGAAGGACTCGCTTCCCGTGACCTCTCACGGTTTTCTCAGTGGGTCTGGTCACTCCCTCCCTTAGCCCGTGAGTGCCTCATTGGCAGATGCGTGTCTGATTGACCTTGGTCTCCCCAGGAGCTAGCATTGTGACAGGCACACGGGATGCTTTGCAAATGTTTATTGAACGAATGATGTCCATCCCAGAGCAGGGTGGGGAGTAGATGGATGGCCTGGCTGGAGAGGCCCTGGGGGTGAGCTCCTCATGTGCCCTCATTGCGGACAGGTTTGTGCCTCGACATGAAGACGAACTTGAACTGGAGGTGGACGACCCTCTGCTAGTGGAGCTGCAGGCCGAGGACTACTGGTACGAGGCCTACAATATGCGCACAGGTGCCCGGGGCATCTTCCCTGCCTACTATGCCATCGAGGTCACCAAGGAGCCTGAACATATGGCAGGTAGTGTTCCTTTCCCCCCACCTGGTGCCTCCAGGCCCCACATCTGCCCTGCCCCGACTTGCTGCCGGGGGAACCTCTGCTCCAGATCTCAACCAGGGAGGGGGCCGAGCGGAGGTGACTTTGGGTCGATTTCACAATTGAGAAAAGGGAGGCCCAGCCAACTTGGGACATCTGTGGATTGTGGCACCCTCTGCTGGCTCTGCCACTCCTCACCTCATGCTTGCTTTCCAGCCCTGACCAAAAACAGTGACTGGGTAGACCAGTTCCGGGTGAAGTTCCTGGGCTCAGTCCAGGTTCCCTACCACAAGGGCAATGACGTCCTCTGTGCCGCTATGCAAAAGGTACCTGCTCCCCGTGCGTGGCTGGTCACCCCCAGCCCGGTCCCCGTCCTCTCCTGGGGAGAGGGACAGCCAGCGCCTGATGTTCCCCTCCCTCACCCACAGATTGCCACCACGCGCCGGCTCACCGTGCACTTTAACCCGCCCTCCAGCTGCGTCCTAGAGATCAGCGTGCGGGGGGTGAAGATAGGCGTCAAGGCCGATGACTCCCAGGAGGCCAAGGTGACCGCCCCCCAGCCTCAGCCCCCCGCTCTCCCACCAGATCTCCACCTGTGCCCCCTGCAGGCTGATCACCACCCTCTTCTCTTCTCCCTCCTGTAGGGGAATAAATGTAGCCACTTTTTCCAGCTAAAAAACATCTCTTTCTGCGGATACCATCCAAAGAACAACAAGTGAGTGGAATGGGACAGAGGTCGGGGCGTGATGGGGGGTGTCTGGAGCTGTTCTGCTAGGATGTGGGGTCCGAGCCCCCGTGGCGCCCTCAGGCCGCTCTCCTCCCCCAGGTACTTCGGGTTCATCACCAAGCACCCAGCTGACCACCGGTTTGCCTGCCACGTCTTTGTGTCTGAAGAGTCCACCAAAGCCCTGGCAGAATCCGTGGGGTACGTGTGTGCGCGTGTGCGTGTAAATGTGTATGTGTGTGTGTCCTGCCGAGCACCCAGCCCACTGAGCCAGCCCCAGTCTCAGGCCCTCGAGCACCTTCCTCACACTCAGTCCTCCCCGCAGCTCTGCACACCCATCTCCAGATCATGGCACAGGGGCTTGGAGAGTGGGTGGGGGGTCTTGAGGAGTGGCTTCCAAACTTTTAGGCTGCTGGACCCCTTCTTCAGTTGAAATCTTACTCAGGAAACACAGTTCTAGAGAACAGAGCAGAGCAGCGGCGGCTGGGGGAGCTGGAGCCCCCCACCCCGGGACCCCAGGGCTCCAGTTTGAAAGCCTGGGGTGAGGTCCTGTTCCTCCCCAGTCATCCGTGTGTCTGCCTGCCTCCTAGGAGAGCCTTTCAGCAGTTCTACAAGCAGTTCGTGGAGTACACCTGCCCCACAGAAGACATCTACCTGGAGTAGCCGCGCTGCCCCTCCCGCCACACCCCCCAGGCCCTCAGGCCAGGGCCAGGACAGCTGGCTGCTGACAGGACATGGCTCTGCTTGAGGAGGGGCCCCTGCCACCACTAGAGGATGGGGAAGTGGGGGCCGGTGGCGGTGGCTGAGGGTGGGGGAGGGCAGGGGTCATGGGGAGAAGCAAGTGCAGTTTATTGTAACATATGGGATTAGATTCATCTATGGAGGACAGAGCGGGCTGCCCGGGGATTGGGAGGGGGCGGGCTGGGGGGTCTCAGGCCTCTGGCCAGGAAGGATACCCGTCTTAGGAGCAAGGAGTTCTGCCCCATCCTGGGCCTCACTTCCGCTGCCAGGCCCTCTGGCCATTGGCTCCTGCCTTGATGATGCCCATGCCACCTGCGAGTGCCCACCCCAGCCCCTGCCCCCAACTCCCAACCCCAAGCGAAGGCTCTGAGCTCAGGGTGAGCCCAGCCACCCCCGAGGACTTGGCAGTAAGGAAGGGCAGCAGGCGGAGGGGCAGTCCCTGTTCCCAGCTCTGTCACCTGCCACCTCACCGGCATGCCGGCCCCTGGCAGGCATGGGGCCACGCCAGGGGAGGAGGGAGCTGCAGCAGGGCCCCGCTCCGGCAGGAAAAGGCCGCTTCTGGACTAGCCAGGCCAGCCGGGGCCTCCTGGCTGCTTCAGCTGTAGCCCCAGCTTGGTCCTGTCACACTGGCCACAACTATTAAAGTGCCGTTTCCTGTCTGGACCGCAGTGGGTGTATCTGCTTGGACCCCTCCCATGCCCAGTTTGTTCGATCCCAGGAGAGCCCACGCCGTTGCTGCACAGAATAACTTTATAAGGGGCGCCCATCACAGGTGTGCGTCGTAGTAATACTCAGCCATGTCTGGCCCGTCCCGCTTGCGCTGCTGGGCCTGGGAGAGGAGGGGTCGAGGCCCTCGTGGCCATGGGTGCTTCGGTCGGACCCCGTAGTCTAAAGAGAAAGAAGAGGGTATGGGTGGGAGGGGGAATCTGGTTTTGAATCTGTGACGTCATCCCTGGACAGATGCTCTCTGGGATGTGAAGACCCTGAGGCTGGACCCAGGTGCCCTCCCCCAGGGCATGCCTGCCCCAGCAGGGAGGGGTGAGAGCAGGGGAGGGAAGGGGGGAGACGAGAGAGACTACCATCCACCAGGCCGGAAAGCGGCTGCGAGAGTTCCAGGGGGACTGAAAATTCCTCGGGAACAGATCGTTGAGGCCTGTGGGAGATGTTGGGGTGCTCAGCCTTGGCCCCAAGGCCACTACCACCTCCTCGTGGAGGGGGGAACTGCCCAGGGTGGGGGGCTTGGTGAGCCCCCTGACATCCAGGGTAACAGTGCCAGCTTCTCCTCTGGGGAGGGGAGGGACAGCGTGGCAGACCCCCACCTTCCAGGCCCCCCGCCCTGTTGAGCCCTGACCCTGTGCCCCCAGGAGCTACCTGAGCGGCTGGGGGCGGAGGAGGGCAGCTGCCAGGAAGAGGTAGAGGAGGAAGAGGCTCAGCCGGGCCCTGGGGTACAGAGCCCCCAGCATGGCGAGAACCATCTTCTACTCAGGTCCTTGATCCTGGCTTCTGCCTGCCCCTCCCCCCGCAGGACGGAACCTGCTGCCAGCTCCCAGGGCAACCTCACAAAGGGCGTTAGTTCCAGGGCTCGGCGTCAGCACCAGCCCCGAGCCTAGGCCAGAAACCTCCGCCGTGAGGTTTGTTTTCTGTTGGTTTTATTTTACTGAGGCTGCGGGCCAACAGGTGGCAAACCACGTCTTGTTCCAGTGTCACTGCCCAAGCGTTAAGGGCACAGACTTTTGGAGTCAGATCTCAGTTCAAATCCTTGCCTCTTGCGAGTGGACACGTCACTTAATCTCTGTAGGCCTTTTTCTCATCTATAGGTAAGGTACACGGATAATGTGCCCAAGGTCTGGCACACAGTAGGCCCTCAGCAGAGGTCACGGTCAGTGAGGTCATGAGAGACACGACCATCCACCAGGCCGGAAAGTGGCTGCGAGAGTTCCAGGGGGCTGAAACTTCACAGCCTCAGTAAAATAAACAGAAGAAACCTCAGCATCCTCACCACCCAGAGCCCCACCCACTTCCGCTCAGCCGCCCCCTCCCCCTGCTTCTGCTGTCAGCACTCCATCTCTTCCTCCGACATCTCAGTAGTCCCAGGAGGGTCCTGCCAGCTGAAGAGCCCAGGGCAGGTCACTCAGCCCTGGCCCACTCCCAGATGCCACTAGAGGGGAGCCTGCTCTGAGCTACTTCCCCACTTTGCTCTCTGCAGCTTAGAACAGCCTGGCCCAGGGGCTCCACTGGCCCTGCCGCCACCTGAGGCTGGAGAAGGGATTGCAAGTTAGGTGGCAAAGCCTGGCACCTGCCCCCCTCGAGAGGAAGCTTCCGGAGGGGAGGGACTGTTCACTGCAGGGTCCCCAGCACGTGACACCTGGCGGGGCTCAGTAAATATTTGTTGAATGAACAAATGCAGTGTGACAGTATGCTGGAGACAGCCTCTTCGCAGGCCTGAGGCCAAGCTGTGGGGCCCTTTCGTTGTCTGGTTCCTGCCCAGCCCCGTGTTAATGCAGTGCCAACCTGGTCACTTCAGAAGCCCAGGGGCTTTCCAAACCACCCCCTGGCTGCACCCCAGGCCTGTGGAATCAGAACCTGAGGGCTGAGCCCGGGGGTCTGCACTTTGGAAACCCAGTTGCTTCTAAGACAGCAGACGTCCCCAGAGAGGGACAGCCCTTGTTTCCAACCCTGGCTCCTGGTCCTGAGTAGCCCCCTGAGGCTGACAAGTTCTGTTGTCTCCTTCAGCCCATCTGCTCCCCTGTGCTCTAAGCCCACACGCTAACTAACTTCTCACTGATCGTCTCCCCTTCTATGTCCTGGACACCAGGGTCTCCCACAAACCTGCCTTAGCATCCTCTGTCCGCACCAAGCGTCACCCTACCGGGAACTGCAAGTTCTGAACGCTCTGACTCCAAACCCCTCATCCTTCACCCTCCTTGGCTCTGAGATGCCACCCTCTTCTCTCTACCTGTAACCAGTCCCAAGGCCTACCTGAGTGACACCTAAACCTGTCTGTGCCCCTGCCATTGCCTTAATTCCACCCCGTCCACTGTCAGAGGTCTCTCCCTGCAATGGTACTCCACCACACTCTGCCCTGCACCTGGCTGCTGGGACAAGGTTTAAAGCAGGCACCTCCCCTCCTGCCTCCCAGAGGCAGGGCGAGTTTCTTGCCTGGTATGCAATGGCCTGCTGGATTTGACCCTGAGCTCCCCCTCCAGCCTCATCCCCTCTGCTCCTGCCCTCTACCCCCATCTGCGCCCGCAATGGCTTCACACCATGACACTACTGCTGATTTCGGCACACACGGCCTCCTCTACGTCTGCCCGTTGGAAGACTGATGAAGCCTTCCCAGTTTAAAGGCCTGCGTGAACGAAGGCTCCCCTGACCAGTGCCCTCCCCAGGTGTCGGTCCAGGCGGGCAGACACCCACACTCGCCCACCTCCCATCTAGACCACTTTCTGTGCACACTTACATCTACTGCAAAAACCCCTCGCGCTGCGTGCACATACACGTCTGTCTCCTCCACCGATCTGTGAGAACTCACGGGCAAGGAACCGTGCCTTACTCATTTCAGAACACACGGCACAAGGCCCAGGGCCCGCTACAGGGTTAGTGCCCAGCAACACATGTTAGACTCAGTGGAAGGTCGTGGGCCTCGAGCTGTGACCCCCTGAAGCCTCAGTACCTTCACTTCCCAGCCCAGGACCTGGGTGGGGCTTCTCAGAGGCACTTGGGGAACGCAGTCAGGGAAAGGCTGGCCCCCAGGGTGGCCATCCCCCGGGGGGTCTGGGCAGAGGTGAGGCACGGCGGAAACCGGGGCAAACAGAGCCCTCTCAGAACCTAAGCCACCGCCATCTGGCTAGAAACTCCAGCAGGAGAGTGTGGTCTGTTCACTGGGCCACACAGTCCAGGTCCCTCTCTCCTCCCCAGCAGTATGCATGGATCCACCAGGGAGCTGACAGGGAGAGTGTGGGGGAGACCCCAGCTCATACCCCCTTGAACCTGCACCCAGCTTTCTCCCAGACCCTCTCAGGCTCCCATCCCCTCCAGCGCCCTCCCCCCCAGCCTCAGTGTCAGCGCTGGCTGGTACTGACATTCTTCTCATGGGAGAAAAGCCTTTTGCTCTCCACTAGGGGTTCAGGGCTTCAGGAGCCACCCTGCACTGGGCCCACCGTTCCCCAGGCTCCATCACAGAGAGGCTGCAGGCAACAGGGCCCTGCAGGGGGACGGGGCCAACACAGGCTCTGGCCAGAAGACATGGGGGCAGCTGTCATCCTAGGTTCAGCATTGTTTGTAGTCAACAGGGACTGGCTAGAGAGAAGCAGAGTTTACCCCCACAGCTGCCACGGCAGGCAGCTTCCCAGGCTCGATGAGGTTAAATCCCAGCTCTCTAGAGGAACTGAAGGCTTCTTGGCCCAGTGACGAGGTGTGGGCTGCAGTGGTTCCATCACCAGAGGGTGTAGTCAAAGTCGGGAGGGTGTTAGGGGGATTCTGGTGGCGACCAGGACTGTGTGCAAAGCCTGGCCAGGATGGGCGGGCCAGGTGCCCTGGGTGGTGGGCACGGAGAGGCCACGTGCTTGGACATTGCCAGAGTCAGTTTTATTAGGGCAGAGGGGCGCAGGGGACTGAAGGGCCGAGGCACCCCTGCCCACAGCATTAGAGCATGCTGCCCCTCCCCGCACCCCGTTCCCAGACGTCTGTCAGCCCCAGTTGTAGAAATAAATTTTCTGCCAGGTGGGCAAATAATCCATGAGCGGCCCTGCAATGAAAGAGAGACAGAGGAACAAGTTTGGGGCTGAGGGCCAGACTCCAATCTGGCTCTGCTTTACCTGGGGCCCTTCTCAGCCACTGCCACCCAAATCCAGCTGCTGACATCTGCACAGCCAGCAGCCCGACTCTCCTACCTCTCCACCCCTAGGGAGGCGGTACTGGCAGCAATCTCTGTCCCCGTGTAGACAAAGACTCTCAGGCTCAGAGAAGCCACACGGCCTGTCCAGCTGTAGATGCTGCCAGCCTCAGCCCAGTGCTGAGGAGGAATCTCCGAACAGCCTGGTGGGCTTCACTCCCGACATACAGTCCTCCACCCAGAGAAGCCAGTCTCGTGTTGTTCCAGGACACGGGGCAGGAAAAAGACTGACAGCCCGATGCGATCTTACACGAGTCCTCCCACCATGGGACACCCTCCTTCCAGCCACCCCTGAGGCTCTATGGCCAGCCTGGCCCATGCCCAGGAGCTGTCACCCACCCAACCTGACCTCCGAGCTCCCTCTCCCAGCTGTGCCAAGAATCAAATGACAAGGAGAGAGAGAAAACAGGGAGACGGGGCCACACACGAGACCCGCAACACTCAGTAATCACCACGCCCCTGCCCCACGCTTACTCGTGAGCAGGCCAATGCCCGGGACGTGGTCTGCCAGCAGCCGGAGCAGGAAGAGGATCCTGGCCCTGCACGCAGGAGATAAACAGGGAGCAGGCTGAGTCGGGGGTCTGGGTCCCTGCAAACGAGGGTGCTAAAAAGCCTCCACTGACCTCCTGACTAAAGGCAGTGCCTCCCAGAAGACGGAAAGTAATTCTGTGGATCTAGAAGGACCCCAGTACAAAAGGACGAGACCTCTGGGTGTGGCCCTGGTCCTGCCGACCCCCAGCCACAGGCCTGGGATGCTCACACCTCCGCTTTGGGCTGGCGGTTAACTCACAGCCTGCACACAGGCACCTCCTCCCGCCTCCCTCCCTCGTCCTGCCCTTCCTTCCACCGAGCCAGCAAATGCTTATGGAGGGCCAGGCACGGGGCAGCGCCCGAGCAGGTATGGTGAGGTCCCCGAGGGGAGGACAGCCCTGCCCTGCTTCGAGAAGCCCCCAGTCTGGCAGAAGAGCTGAGCCACACCGAAATCTCACAAGCCAATGCTGAGAGTGGCCAGTGCCCCAGGAGGGGACACAGCCCAAGGAGGGTACGCTTTTGGCTCAGAGGAAGGGGCAAGGGCCAAGACCCTGCTTTTGTTTGTTTGTTTGTTTTGCTAAGGAAGATTCACCCTGAGCTAACATCTGTGCCAGTCCGCCTCTATTTTGTATGTGGGTCGCCACCACAGCATGGCCACCAATGAGTGGTGTAGGTTCTCGCCCGAGAACTGAACCTGGGCTGCTGAAGCAGAGCGTGCCAAACTTAACCACTAGGCCACAGAGCCGGTCCCTCAAGACCCTACTTTTTAAGAGATGGAGGTTTCAGGGCCGGCCCCATGGCCTAATGGCTAAGTTCAGCGTGCTCTGCTTCAGCAGCCCGGGTTCGGTTCCCGGGGGCGGACCGACACCACTTGCCAGCAGCCATGCTGTGGCAGTGACTCACATACAAAATAGAGGAAGATTGGCACAGACGTTAGCTCAGCACAAATCTTCCTCAGCAAAACAAAAAAAAGAGAGAAGGGAGTTTCCCACTGGAGAAACCGGGGTGAGATGACGATAGTATTGATGATGATAAAAGAAATAAGATGTACATTTAGTGCTTACCGTGTACCAGGCACTACTTACTCTATGTACTAAGTCATTTAACCCCTA